GGTCCTTGTAGTCCTTGCGGCCCTTTGTTGCCTTTCTGACCTTGTGGCCCTGGCATTCCTTGAACTCCTTTTTCTCCTGGTGGACCAATTGGGCCTTGAACTCCTGGATCACCAGGAATCCCTTCTCGTCCATCTCGCCCTGGAGGGCCTGCCGGTACTTCTAGCAACGATGGACTGCAAGCCTGAAAACGAACTCCATATATTTTACAGTCTTGTCCACCTATAACATTTTTCACTTGCAAATAATCTGTTATGGAACTTACTTGGACTACGATAGTGCAAAGAGCAAACAGGAAAATATTGAAAACATGCATTGGTACCGGCAATCTGAAACTGATTTTGTGAACAATAACGGATTTTTCAGACTTTCTTTCAAACCATCAAAAGTTCGCAAAAAGCGTAAGATTAGAGAGTGCCGAAACAGCTATTCACACTCTTTTAGAAGATCATCCTCGAACTGAAATCATACATGGATGAAACCATTCCCCTATTTTCGTTCGTTAATTATTTCATCTCATTATTCTCCCTCCTTAAGGTAACCGATAATTGATTGACTAAAATACAGAAATATGAATTTCCTCACTGTTATAACACAACAGGAATTTGAGAAAAAGTTTTATGATTCGAATTGAAATTTAATGAAGCGAATTTCGACGAGAAATTTTCTATTTATATTAAGGAATTATCTCTCTGATATCAATCTTTCAAGAATTCATAAAACAAAGAAACATTTCAAAAATTCTTTGTGAAATTGTCGTATGGAAATGCAGCAAAATGCAACATTAAACCATTACTGACGGCATCTATGAAAGCTAAACGAATCTTTTTATTTAAAGAATTAAAGTGAATGAAAGGAAGATTCGGTTGACTGAGAAGACCAACGGTTGATAGAGAATTCGGGTAGATGGATAGAGCAATAAGATTTGAACCTTAGAAAAACAAAAACAGCTGATATAATCAGTCTCCAACTGATATAATAGGAGACTGATTATATCAGTTGTTTATGGATAAGTTTTCTCTTTTTTTAATTTCTGAAATTGCTTAAATCATTCAACCTTAACCTTCTTTCGTTTTGTCAAACTCAACTAAAGTTCAAGTTTGAATCACCCGATGTAAAGCAATGTACTGAAGTTTAGAAATAAATTACAGTACAAAATTTTTTCTATAATTATCGGAGTTTATGCACGTATATGCAAAAGTAATATTACGTTTATTAAAGAATTCAGCACCAAAATCATATGTATCTTTTACTTCTCTGATGTTTTGAATTGTCTAATCTTTTGAAATCTCCTATTATTGCGGTGAAGGTATTGGTAAATAAAATTATTCGGTTACAACATCCCTCGGTAGCCATACCGTGAAATGTACAAAAAGCCAAAGTCCCATAAACTTTTGCTTTCATGGTTTATTAAAAACTAGTATTATACGCAATGCTGATTAAAATTTGACAGCATAAGAGATGTTGCACTGTCGGAAGGATTAATGAATAAAGAACTAAAGAATCATTACAGAAGAAATGAACGGCTATCGATGATATTAGCCTTAAGGCTTATTTTAAGTAAAGGAGTTTGTTGAAGGTAATTGAGACCATAGGATTTGAAGTGAAGGACAATTGTTGAATAAAGAGGGATGGAAGTGTTAATTAAATAAACGAAAGGGAAATAACTGAAAATGAAGTCGGACGACTGAGTGATAAGAAGAAACGAATTTGTTAAAACTATGACAACTTCAAAGATTCAATTATCTGCAATTACAGTTATTAGTGCAATTATTCCAATTTTGATCGCATCGATAGCAAATTTATGTTACGCTGAATAATTGAATAATTGCCAATTGATGACAGATCTCACTTTGTCACAAGAATGATAACGCTTTCATATTGACTAAGTGTGAAAAAAAATGTGTCGGAAACGCTGCAACAAATTGGAGTAAATTTTACAGAAAAAAACAAATACAGGCGACAGCTGAGCTTTCATTAAGATTTTATAGGGCCGTTAACTTTAATTAAAATTTTTCTGAGGCATTTCTATGAAATAATTAACTTGCAGATAGCAGACATCGCTCAAATTGCCAACTTATCACTCTCGAAAATTCAAAACATGTTCTTCCTTCTATCTCCCGGCTTGATCTATCAACCGTTAATTTATCAGTTAACCGAATCTTCTTTCTGTTCCTAAACTATGGCCTAAAAAGATCCGTTCAGCTCCCACAGATACCGTCAATAACCATTTAAGATTGCATTTTGTTGCATCCGATATGAATATTCCACAAAGAGTTCTTGAAATATTTCTTCCTTTCATGAATTTTGGGATGATTTATATCAAGCATCCAACTTTTCAATATAAGCAGAAAGTTTCCCGTCGAAACTTTATTGATTTTCAATTTGAATAGTAAAGCCTTTTGGCGCATTTTGATGATATCGTAAATTTTCAGGATTATTTAAATTACAGCATATCGATTACAACTTTTTTAAAGGAAGGATTGTAAATAAAAAAACGTCCGATCTCTATAAAATTTCTGTTGAACCTGGTCATCTGAAAGACCTATAATACTCTCTTTGCATAATTTTTCCGTACAGAAATATAAAATATCAAAAATCTAAACGTTCGAAAAAACCTAAATTTTCAATACTTTCATATTGGTTTTTTGCGCTTTTATCGTGATACAAGTAAGTTCTCTAATGATTATTTTTAAGCTAGAAAAAATATGTTTGAAGTTATGCTTCTAATTATTTGCAAATACTATTTCTAGGCCTGTAGCCCACTGATGGGATCAGGAGGAGAAGGAGCAGAAGGCGAATCGCAAGCATTACCGCTAGGACCACTAGGGCAAGATGGACGGGAAGGACCTCAGGGAAAGCAGGAATGCCAGAGGAAGATGGTCTGCCAGGACCACGAGGAATGCCAGGACCACCAAGTCAACATGGTAAGCCAGGTATCAGAGGAGAAAAGA